GATGCGGTGTGAGCGTGGTGGATGCTGATCGTGATCGTGTTGGTGGTGCTTCCTTCCCTGCTTTCTTGCTTTCCCTCGTCCCACTCGAGACGCCCTGCCCCGCGTAAGATCTCATGGACTCGATGGGCACGGAGAAAGACGCGTCGCTAGACGGCTATTACTGGCAGGCCTGCCTCTCGCCCTTCCCAAGGCTATTTTCCCTTGCCTTTTTTCGGCGCGGCGGGGCGAGGGGCCCGGGGGTGAGGAGACTACGGACTGGGGAAGAACGGAAGTGACGCAAGGGAAGGGAAGGAGGGTGAGTCGTCGCGACGAACGAACTCACGAAGCCCATCACGCAGCGAAGCGAAGCGGCGAAGGAGAACGCGAGAGAATGAAAGGAAGGAGCACCTCCATTAACGCGCCCATCACACTGTAACACTGTCACAAAGCCCCTTCCCCACATATCCCACATACTCGGGGGGGCTATAGTATTGGTATTTGGTATTTGGTATTTATTCCGTCGTGCATGGTTATGGTTATGGTTTTTTCTTTTTTCGTTTCTTTTCGTTTGCTCTTTTTTATTAAACTTTTTATTACTTATTGATTTCGGACACCATTGCCCCCTGTACCCCCGCCACACGAATTCGCATTAATGCTACCCCCTCTATCTATGTGCTACGTGCTACTTACATGCTGCCCCGAGCCCCCCATCACGCTCCCATCACGCACTTGTACGATGAGTATTGATTAGTTTGATTTATTGATGTTTGATGTTTGATTTATTGAGCCATTGAATAACGACGAACGGACACGCGCCTTTTTTTTTCTTTTTCTTTTTGGATTGCTTTCTGCCACATTTTATTGCTTGACCTTGACTTATTACTTATTACTTTTTCTTTCTTGATTTTTGATTCACGCCCGTGATGCATCGAAAGAGATTCGGAAGACACCGTGACTTTAGGCTAGTCTGCATCTCAGTCTTGCTCTCTCAGCCAGAGTCGCACAACGTCTCACCACGTCTCACCATCTGCATCCATTCATGCCGTCCGTCCTAAACGTACCTGTCCACTAAAATGCACCCATTCACTGGAATGCACCCGTCTACTAACCAGAGTCTCACAACGTCTCACAACGTTACAGTCTCACCATCCGCGTTTCATTCATGCATGCCATCACTCCATCCGCCCACTAAACTACACGCCTGTCCACTCAAACGCAGCCATTCACTAAAACGCACGCGCCACTGAAATGCATCATCACACCGACTAGTCCCAGCCCATCCAGCCCATCCAGCCCATCCCATACTACATGCATACATACCGATACGTACGTACGTACGCACGAGAACGCGATCGCGATCGCGATGATCACGATCATGACGAGAGCCACTTGGTACTTGGACCACTTTAGCAGGGGGGCCGGCGACTTACTTGAACCGCATCCAATCCACTACTCCCTGGCACCACCGGCATTTTCAAACGTTCCCCGAGGGCCCTTTCATTTTTTGCCCTTGCCTTATTGGCCCGCCTTCGAATTCCCGCCCTTGCCCCTTTGTGCCCGAAGGCTTTCCCCCCTTCCCGCCCTTCTCATCATGATATAACGTGATATCATAGCCGTCCATCGGTGATCGAATGTCCACTTTGCATCACGTATTCACATACATACATACATACATACACATACAGTACCTCATCCCCCTTACTCACTGCCACCCCACGCGTGTTTAGTACGCGTTTAGTACGAGATATTATAGGCCTGGCTGGATGCCGACAACATGACACGTACATGCAGCATCACGATCACTCACCTCACTCACCCTCACGCGTGTTTAGTACGCTATAGCCCCTTTCCAAACGACAAATGACAAATGACCAAATGCCCAAATAACAAACCAGTGGCCAATGGGCAGAGCCAATGCCAGCCTTAGTATAGGTAAGGTATAACAAATTCGTTGATGGGGTGTTCCGACTCGGAGAAGGTGTGTGGACGGCGGAAGTAGAAGGCAGGAAGCCTGAGGTGCAGAAGCTACGGGTGGAAGACGAAGGACGGACGGGAAGATACGAGAAGGAGAAGGGGCGGCGGTCATAACCCGTCCCATCCACCTCGAACGTGTTCTGGCTGTAAGATCCTGGGAGCGACCGTTGACGTCAATGCTAATGCCATACCCCAGTTTGTCTCTAATTTTATCTTCAATTTTATCTTTATCTTCATCTTTGGCGAGCCAAGTCAAACCCAGAAAATATATGACACATGGACGTGAACTTGGAAGAAGGAACTTGCATCAATTGGATGAGGCTCAAAACATACCCGCGCCACTCTAAAAGACACAGTTGGGAAAGCTTGGGAAGGCTGAAATAGGCTATGCACAATCATATACAAACGACACATCCCTGCAATATGGCTACAACTAGCGACAACCAATCGTACACTCCCATCTTATGTACATACAAACACAGCACCTATCTACACATACACACAACCTGCCAAGTTCCCAGTGCAGGTGGCCGGCACCTACACCCCTTGCGTCGTCACGGTCCGTTCGCCCTTCTCGTCTAGATTGAGGCGGGCTGACATGGTAAAGTCGGAGAAGTGGAAAGAATGCATCACGACCGCTGTCGGTGTAGACCCAAGATCGTCTTTTACCTCGGCATCTCGCGAAACTCGATAATGCGGCGCGATGCCTTTTGATGCTGCCTCTTGCTGCGACGATCCGGGGATGGCGGTCATGCAGTGCGCAATGGAGATGATCGGAACCGCCTGCTCCCAAAGCTGAATTGAGCAACCGACCATCGAAACTTGAATGAGAAAGTAAAACACCCTCGCTCACCATATCCGCCACGACCACCTGGCCGAGCGTCCTGCAGAGGTAACACACGAGGAGGGCGATGATCGTGATGGCGTACAGCCCGTGCGCGCCCGTGAGCAGCATCACCACGCGCCTACACAACTTCCGGCTCGCCTCGAAGAGGTTGGTGCGCGGATGGAAGAGCGACCAGACTCGGATGATCAGAATGGCTGTCAAGAACAAACTAGGTTTTGAGTCATGAACGGCAAAAATAACGGCATGGCATGGCAGCCTGGGATGGGGGGGGGACTGTACTGACCTGTGCCGGAAAAGTGGGAGGAGTATGTGAGGACGTAGAAGCATATCATCCAGGGCCTACACGGCGAGGAGAAGATGGCCGAGATGTTTGGTTCGGCTTTTGAGATGAAACATGTCCCTGTGATGCCCACCGCTACTTTCCTCGAATGTTAAGCTCTGCGTGCCTTCAGCATAAAACAAAGGGGGGACTTACCAAAGCTGGCGACCCATAAGAGGGCCGGCACTGCAATGATACACGTACGGCTGAATAAACGGGAGCGCCATATCTGCATATGACTCGGATGAGGCTTACAACTGGAGTATGCATGTGCGAAACAAATGAACATACCACAAAACCATCAGCAGCGCATGTCTGGGCGACATAGATGGCGTATTTTGCAGTGTAGATCCTGTGCGATAGTACACTGTTGCATTTACTAGTATCATCTTCCTTGCAACATGTGCCTACGTGAACAGCATTCAGGATCAAGTGCTGAGTGACAGTCAGTTTAGTGCTTGATCACAGATGATATCCCTAGACACTCACCGCTGAGCTCAGGACAAATAGGGTCACTGATACGATGAAAATGAACAGGGGCTTTCCTTTGAAAGTCAGGGTCCGCATTGCTAATGCTAGTAAGACGATAGATATGGCTTTGTGGTTTGTTGGTGAACGAAAATTGGTATGTTAAATCCAGCCACGTCCCAAAATGTAGATCAACTCACCATAGACTACGCCTTCCATGACGACCGATACAAGGCATGCTTCATCGACAGAAATGGGCATGTATCATAAGTTGACTCCAGCTTGACACGATAGGGGCACTGCCGAAAGTGCACTATGATATATGACAGGCGAAGGCGACTTTTTCCGATGAATCGAAAAGTTGCTCCTGCCTACACATCCTTCCTGGATACCTTTTATTCTGTTTCGCGACACTGCAAAGTAATACCGAAGTACGAGGACGCATCGTCCTTTCTGACATCGACTGGCTTGCCATCGCGCCCGACTACTTTGGTTGCCTCTTATGGAAGGAGAGCGCCGTGCTTTGGCTCGGAGCGCCTATTTTCCCGTTGCTGGGTGCTGGTAGAGATGCAAATACGACAGTCCTATGATCATGAGAGTAGCTGCACGAATCGCCTGTATCCGCATGTTGTGCTGCTAGTCCATACTGGATATTAAAGCAGGCGGGTCAGTTGTCTGAGTCATTGTCTCAGCATTGGCCCTGCTATCATCGTGAGTAGTTAGTTGTGTGGATACTCACCTAGCGTAGGTGCGCAAATTCAATATAGCCAGATGTGCAGGACTCTAATGCAACGCGCAACGCGTTCCACTGTCAACTATGCCAATGGCATGGCAATCTACAACCAAACTCCATCTTTCGACTATGCACATACGTCGTCGCATCGGCTACTATGACAGAGAACGCTATATGCCCGTGGGCCCTTCAAACATACGCAAACGACGTATTGCGTGACTTTGACAGGTGCGACACGCAACTCGTTTCACTGTCAACTGCGTCAATGGCAATATACAACCATTGACAAGCTCCATCTTTCGACGCACGTCGTCACACCGCCTACTCATGTCGATGCCAATATACAATCAAACTCCATCTTCCGACGTACGTCGTTACATCGCCTACCTATGACAGAGAACACCCATGTGCACCGCGGGCATCAAGAATACACCAAAGATGTGTTGCGTGACTTCCACTGATCTCGATGGGTGTGAAATCGGGTGACTGTTAGGGTATAGATAGCAAGGAAGCAGAGGCCAAAGTAGACGAAGTACCTTGCGTCCCATCAAGTACGTAGTGGAGCCGGACTAATTCACATGAGCTGATTTTCAGAAAAAAAAGAACGACAACCGTTAAACAGATATAATCTGCCAAACTTTGGACACTCACGTATGCGATCATGAACAGCAACAAGTGTTTTGGCGGCTCCGGCCGGTGTTCAACGTTCACCGGGCTCACACACGGCCCAACATTTAATGAGCCGGATTAATACGGGAAAAACTGCGAGCAACACGGGATGATGAGAAGGTATTGACACCGGGGTCAAACAAGTACTAGCTCCAAAGCAAAGCTGAATTACGATAAAATGAAATGCAAATTCAAAACTAGCTATTACTCCCCCGGTTCGTCATGACTATGATGACCCTGCACATATACTAAGGTGAAGACTAGTCTCAATTGAAACTTGACATTGCGAGCGACGAACTACTGCAAAGAGTATAGAGAAGATAAGCTTCCTAAACTGTACTCCGCAGTGCCCTTAGGTAACCGCTCAATAGATGTAAGATCTCGGGCATCATCGGGCAGAACTTTGGAGACTTTTGAATGAAGACCACTGGCAGAACGAAGAACCTCAATTAGGGCGGGAGTACCTTTCTCGTCGAGAAGCAGTCATGCCATAAACATGTCGTGTAGATTGAAGGCATAGTGGCCCTATTGGAAAAGAGGAAGAACCGGAGGACACGGACGGATCCAAATCGAGGTGATATGATCATTCGTGAGGTTTAGATTGCTCATTCTCGATACGCCTCATGAAGAAGTCACACCTGAAAAAAGATAAACATTGTAGGAAGAACTGAGCATCCTCTTCACTCCGATCAGAGTTCGGATTCTCTCTGCTAACTCTGCATTGATAAGAAAAATCAGGCCAAAAGGACAAGTGAGGGAGAAAAGCAGGATTTGAATGGCTTCTGGATCACACTGATAGATAAATTAGAAAATAGCGTCTTCTGCAATGCAAATGAGATAATCGTGACGTTACTCATCATCCAGCTCGCATAGACATTCTTATGTTATCTGGAGAGGTATCCACCATGGAAATGAGCTGACAACCATCGATGTGTCACCAGTGGAATGTAGGAAGACTTTCCGTGTGGACGGACAGCTGACTAAACTTTGCGGAGTGCTTGTGCCGGAATGTAAGTATATTGATACTATTGATACCCCACACATATAGTCCATAAACATCGGGCTATAATCAACTCCATATGGAAAAGAAACTTGTACACTGACTACTTTCCATGAATGGTCGGTGAGACCGTCGGGGACTGCATCATATAAAAAAAATAGCTCACTAATACATAACTGCCACAATTCACATTCACAATCATCATCGCGATGCATCGTGAGTCCCGCCTAAAATAGTGGGTGTGAAGACTTACGTCGTTCTATTCTCGACCATGTCTCGTAGATTCCTTGAGTGTTTCGAAGAATGATTTCACATCAGCATCATTTACAACTTTCCCCTGCTGCGCAAACGGCCTGAGGTACTTGATGAGATCGTCTCTGTAGGGAGAGTTAGCCAAGTGTTTTCGAATAAACGAGTAACGTACCTCATATCATTGAACGCACGTATCCCATCAATTGCGCGGTCACGTGGGAGACGTTCCAAAGCTCTCATGCCAAGCTCCTCGAGAGATAAACCTGAAAAGTAAAATAAGATACGGTACGTGAGCTTGCGTATGAAATTATAGACAGGAAACTTGATACCAGAGTCTGGATCTTCAGGAGGCTCGTATGTTTCTTCTTCCTCCAGAAGATACGGATGGGATTCGAGCGACGGAAGACACTATCAAGACTATCACTCTGGAGTTCGTATGAAAAGAACGCTCGATCAACTCACGCAGCTACACCGACACCAACGTTCTCTCCAACCCTCGGTTAGAAATATATCACCAGTACCTAAAGAAGAGTCGATATTTGTCGACGTACGACCTTCAAACACTTTTGTGGCAACCGGATTGCAAGGAGGTGCAAGACAGGATGTAGGCAAAGCCGGTGATGGCGAAGTGCGTGGTTTTTTTGTAACAGAGTCGTTTGAAAGTGACGCTGAGCGAGGTCGTTTAGTACCTACACTAGCACTTGTCGACCCAGTATCATCGACGTCCAGAGAAGATCCATTCTCCAAAGTATCATCGGTAGAATGCCCACCGATCATCTTCCAAGGAGCGGTATCCTCATCGCGGACAACCATTAGGACGCCTGGGGTTCCCGCATATCGTTTCAGAGTGTCGATTGAAGAGACACACGAAGAGCAAATGAATGAATCATAGTCAGATGCGGAAATAAGGGGAGGAGGAAGGTTAGGTGAAGACGCATCCGAGAGGCCATCATCTTCGTCTTGAGCTTCGGTATTTGTAGCTGGCTCTGGTGAAGGTTCTCGTGAAGATGGACGTTCACGAAGGTTAAGACAAGATTCATGAAACCAGTCCTGGATTGATAATGAGCGCATTAATGAGCTGTCAAGAGCATTTAGCATCAGATGCTAAACGTACTTCACATGAAAGACACTGTATCATCGTTTCTCGCTCTGTCTTGACATCATACGGCCTTCCACAGCGACAGAACACCCCTTGGTAATTCTGGCCATACTCATTACTACTATTCTCTTCTTCGAGTGATTTATGAAGAGTGCACGAATGTGTGATGGTTGAGGTAGGACAATCGCAGCGGAAGTTGCGTTTCGGAAAGAGTTCAATCTGTTCATGATCTGTGTGGCAAGCGATGGAACATGAAGAGCATATACCGCGAGGAGAAGCACAAGTGATACAGAGATAGACAGCCTGGCGTATAGGACCCAAAGAATATGTGCATCTAGAAAATTCGTGTGGCAGAGCGAGCGCAGCCTCTCGAATGAGTTCATCCTGGGAGGCAATGATTTCATTTAAGGAGCTTTCGGTCGACATGTTAATAGAGAAAGCAGTAAAGGGAACTTGGATTTGAATGCGCAACGCGTATAGCCAATACCTAGTTCAGGCCCTTCAGGGGTGTGCCTTTGCTCGTCGTGCACCGCGACTTGAAAGATGTCTAGCTAGCGTTTGACGCGTCGACGACCGTGGCAAATCTCACCTAAGCAGCACACGGGTAGCCGGCCCGGTCATTGTGACTGTTATCGCTGTGTTATCGTCGACTCTGTTCTTGTTGTTCTCCCGCATTTATTGCTGCGAAGGTTAAATAAAAACTACAAAGTAATTATGATGTGCTGGGGCTTATCTCTAGGTCCATTAACTAATAATTGGCTGTATGTGCTGCAAAGGCTTAGAACAGGTAACCTTCGAAGACATAAATCCCAATATCGAACTTCTGTTCTTTCAAGATGACAGACCCGACGACAAAAGCACCCAAAGGACCTGATCCAATTCTCCTAACGCTCTTTGCAAATCGTTTCATGAGCGTTGCCGAGGCAATGGGCCGATCTTTGCAACAGACGTCTATCAGCACCAATATCAAAGAGCGCCTTGACTTCTCTTGTGCACTCTTCGCTCCCGACGGCGATCTCGTAGCAAATGCACCTTTCATTCCCATTCACTTGGGCTCAATGAGTTTGTAAGAAACCTTGCTTCCAATATTCATTATGTCTTACATTGATAAACCACTGTTTACCATCATATTGCTAATCATGAACGTTCGTGCCGAAATGCAGCGCCGTGAAGTACCAGATGAAACTTTACGGGAAGGAGTTAAAGCAGGGAGACGTCCTCATGACAAACTCCCCGCATGCAGGTGGATCGTGCGTACAATTGCATTAAGCTATTTTCCCTCCATTTTTAATGCGAAGGTGAACTGCATACAAGACACCTACCAGACATAACCATCATCACGCCCGTTTTTGAAGCCAAGTCCAATGAGATCATCTTCTTCACCGCTTCACGGGGCCACCACGCAGATATTGGTGGTATTCTTCCAGGCTCAATGCCACCAACGTCTGTCAATATTTTCGAGGAGGGTGCAGAGATCGTTAGCTTCAAAATTGTCAATAATGGCATGTTTGATAAAAAGGGGCTGTATGAGTATATGGTTGATAAACCCAGCCAATATCCTGGTAGCTCTGGTTGCAGGAACATTAAGGATGTCGAGAGTGATTTGAAAGCGGTATGGATGTTTTTATTCAAGTAATTATGCTTCCTTGTTCATTCTGACGAAATATTGTAATGAATAGCAAATCGCAGCTAATCATAAAGGTGTACAATTAATCCAAGCAAGTTGAGTCCTCATTTTGATCGATACATTTACACTTCTTATACGAAGCAGTTGTGGACGATTATGGCTTGGAGACTGTACAGGAGTATATGTATCACATTCGGGCGAACGCCGAACGTTCTGTCAGAAATCTCCTCCGCGACGTAGCAAAACGTGCTGGAACGAACGTTCTCGAGTCTGTGGACTACCTAGACGACGGATCACCAGTAAAACCTCCTTCGTTCGGGAGGAAAATAGCCACTAACACTCTTGGATGATTATACAGATACAACTGAAGGTTGAGATCAACGAGGAAGATGGGTCTGCAGTACTCGATTTCGAAGGCACAGGCTGCGAAGTGCGCGGGAACCTCAACTCTCCTATATCAGTTGTCCACTCTGCCGTGATCTACTGCATGCGTTCCATGTTAGATGTAGACATCCCACTGAACGCAGGATGCTTAGTCCCGCTAGAAAGTGCGTCTATGCACCTCGATGATGCGAACGCTTTATATCTGATAATCTTTGCCAAATGCAGTTAAGATTCCGGAGAAATCGCTGTTGTCACCATCCAGAACGGCTGCTGTATGTGGTGGCAATGTACTTACCTCTCAGCGGATCGTGGATGTAGTGCTGAAAGCCTTCCATGCATGCGCAGCAAGCCAAGGGTGTACAAAGTAAGCTGGAAATGCACTTTTACTGATACTGAGCTGCTGACGTCTACGATACAAAGTAATCTGACATTCGGTACGGGTGGAAAAGATAAGAATGGCGTGAATACCGCTGGTTGGGGATACTATGAAGTGAGTGCATCTTCTACCAACGATCTCTTGCATCACACTCATTATCACGTAGACCATTGCAGGAGGATCGGGTGCCGGACCAGGATGGCACGGAACCTCGGGTGTCCACACACATATCACCAACACGCGCATCGGCGACGTCGAAATTCTCGAGCGGCGATACCCTGTGCTGCTTCATCGTTTCGGTTTACGTCCTGGCTCTGCAGGTCAAGGGAAATGGCACGGTGGTGATGGCGTCATACGGGAATTCGAGGTGCTTCAACAGCTTCAGGTATCCATCTTGTCCGAGGTGAGCGCAATCAACTGCAAATTTGATTTGGCTATGCTGATGTACTTGTGCTCGATGAAGCGGAGAACTCGTCAACCATACGGCATGGAGGGCGGTGAGCCTGCCGCTATGGGGCGCAACACATGGGTTAAGAAACAGCGCAAGGAAGATAAGGACATTCCAGAGGGCCGCGAGGACGACGAAAACTTGGATCCCAGGTACATCAATATCGGGGGAAAGGCGACTGTTTTCATGGGAAAGGGGGACAGATTATTGATCGAGACACCTGGTGGCGGTGGGTGGGGCATTCCAGAGGATACAGAAGAGGACGCAGGCCATGGGACACATGTGAGAGCTTGGGAAGCAAGGGGTAGCTTAGCAGAGAGAGCAGCTAGGCAGGCAGGTTTTTAATTCGACAAGTTCGCAGGCTCAGAAGGTATTGACTAGGTGTAATATCACAAATGTACGACTTAACCGAACAATGACGAGGCTCAAATACCTTGCGTAGTACTGGGATACCTTAACTCAAGCTTCAGAGTGACTTGAAATCATTCCCAGCTTCAAAGTCTGGGTGAAGGTGGTTATTTCTATATGTAGCTGGAACCTCCAAGTAGGACTACTGTACTCGGTAGGCTGTTCGGTTCCCCGAAACCCGATACAATGAGTAACAGTGAGTTAATGACCAAATGCCCGTCATGCGTCATAGTGATCAAATATAGCGATCATCCTGGCATATATGATTGACGGGATGGGGGAAACTTCTTTTGGAACCTCGAGACGGGGATTACTATACGAAGGCCGTGAAAAGCCGGCTCGTTCTTGATGCACTGACGTTTGTGCTCAAATGAGCAAGACGAAGACCATGAAAATTGCGACCGTGGAGATCAAAAGGTGCGGTACCGAGAGTCGAAACGAAAAGTGTTGAGATGAAAGGAGGGAACCGGTTAAACGCCCACGACGATCTTGCGAGAGCGCATTGTCTTTCTTTTGACAGCAGAATTAGCGCCGCCGTGCAAGATGCCATATCTGTCACCGAGACTTGATAGTAACTCGGATGCGCAGATACGTTACCTCCTAGGAAGACAGACAGTCTGTACAAGTATAGAAATATTGTGGCGTTCTGGTACATGGGCACAGAGTTAACCCGGGAGCCTTCGTATTCTGACGCTCGCTGGACGGTTATGGGTATGCCATCGAGAACCTCGACCGAACAAGGGTTCACGCGATAGCAACGACAAACAGCACGATAATGCGAATCGAGAACAAAAGAGTGGCGAGCTGTCGCGTTGAGTTGACATCGATATGCAAGGTACAAGTCTAAGGATAACAGGAACGTGTATATCACACTTCTGCAAATATCTGCCAGACTCGGATACTGGGAATGATGAGTCGAAATATGATTTAGGAAACTTGGAAGATGACACAGTAATTGATGGTACTTGGCATAGCCCAATACTGTAGATGCGTGCTTCCCGTCTTAAAGCTTGCAGAAAACGTCCTATGGCGTTTTGTCTTGGTTATTTGAAAATAACCCCAATAAAACAAGGTATTACCCACTTGACAATGTCTGGTTAATGGTCAAACGAGAAAGGAATTGTAGACCTTACTGAGCTTGCTGAAGGACTATGTCAGAGGGATGGTGGCAGATTTCACAGTCAGGAAGCTTGAAAGTGAGGGTCGCCATCTTGCATGAGCATGATTGTTAGTAGTCGAGTGTTTATAAACGATGAGGTGTTGCCAGTGGCAGTAGTGGCCGGGCTCGCTTCAAGTCGTTCGGCTTGTTTTGCCTTGTTGAATGGCTTCGTTTTCTTTACTCATCATACACAAAATCATACTTATATCATGCTCTGTGTGATCTTAGCTATAGTGACGCGTGCATGAATCTGCCGTACTATACCAGTGGATGGCCTACTGGACGCAAGGTAGGCAGTGCTGCAGGGGGTGCGAGATAATTCAGGATAACTAGTTTGTCACACTTCACCTTCCATTATGCTAGATACTAACCGTTGGTTTCATCTCGTCCATTCAATGGTTCACTGGATACCTGGGGGCGGGAATATATCAGCAGGATTGTAATGTGCGCCGACTTTCTTGCTCCAAGGCTCCTTCAAACCAGGAAATTCACTAAACTATAGGATTAGCGAGGATCATCAAAATATGTTCGCTGGAATATATTTATGGTGGGCCCAATTTCTCGAGCACGTACCGCTATGCTCATATGTACCTATGCTAGCCATTGACTTAGTGGCCTATCATTAAGTCACGATAAACTGTAGTACTTCATTCTCAAAGGGCATCAAACAACTTTCACGGTATTTCAATTGTGATGGGTCGAGGAATATCTACCCTATCACACAATGGGATCCGCACCCGTGTACAGTGATTCTGGACCTTCTGGGCATGCAACCAATCAGTATGCTTTCCAAGTACGCCTTGGTAGCTTAGTTGGTAAAGCACCAGACCATGAAAGCTGGAGTCCCAGGTTCAAGCCCTGGCCAATGCATGTTTTCTCATACTATAAACAAATGTCATAATTTGTCATACCCCTTTATCAATCTTGTACCTAAAAACTCTATGAACATGTTGTCTGTCTGTAAAATGTCTATGGAGCAAGTAAGGACAGTATTTAATAACTCATTAGCGTTTACATGTAACAACCAAGATTTACTCTGGCGCACACAGGAACACACTATAGAGAAAGATGGTGAGGGAGTGGTTACCCCTTAGAATTCAGAGAGTTAGTTGGTATACAACAGGAGGACTCGCTGAGGAGTCTCCTGGATCTATTGGGGTATATATACTACTACAGGGTTATTTGTACATGTGTACTATACAGTTGATAGAGACAGTGGCTGATGATGTCATGGGGCCTAGCCCGTGTGACCAGCTCCACTGCGTGAGATACTTGTATTTAAAATAAGAATAAAGGCAGCACCACGCGAGAAAGCTGGAGTTTGAACTAAAAAGGGAAGTGCCACATGGCACAGTGTGAAAACTACAGTACAAGGTTAAAGTGGAGAATGAAATTTAAAGGAAAGATCCGAAAATGAAAAGTAAAGTAAATGGTCACATGACTGGTTATGTGACTTGGAAAATAAAAGTAGAAGTACAAAAGTAAAGCGCAAGTAGGTGCTGGTATGTTAATTGTAACATTACACTGATCATATGTATCAGTCCTATCCAAAAATTTGCGACAGGAACTTGACTCGTAAAACAGCCAGATATACCTCATCAAAAGGAACAGCAATAAGCGGTTCTCACTTCACTCCTTGAGTTTCTCCCATGAGAACAGACAGCACCATGCATCTGCTGACCAGTACGACCCGGAATATGTTGACCGACTTACAGATTTTGACCACATTGAAAAAATAGATCACACTTGACGATATTTGATTTCATATCCCTCAACATTCATTATGCATTGATTCTTTTCTAGGTCGTTCTCGATGTGACAACACAGATTACAGCCTAAGAAAGTGATTACAGGCAAACAAGAAAAGCTGAAATAATATTTCTGTAAGTACAGTGCTGCTATTAGCCTCATACCGATATGTAACGCTCACTAATCAATGTGCAGGCACATAGCATTCAGGTTCATCTCCTGAAATATATTCTTCCTCAGACGTGTTACAATTGATGTACCAGCACCTACTTACACTTCACTTTTTTCGTACTTTTACTTTTATTTTTCCAAGTCACATGACCAGTCATGTGACCATTTACTTTACTTTACATTTTCGACTTTTCATAGTCACATGACCAGTGTCTAGGCTCACCATGTGACCGGTCACATGCCAGACATCAGACTTTAAACTTTATTTACAACTGTACAGTATCTCATGTATTTTAGTATATATGTTACAATTGACATACCAGCACCTACTTATGCTTCACTTTTTGTACTTTTACTTTTCATTTTCCAAGTGACCATTTACTTTACTTTACATTTTCAACTTTTCATAGTCACATGACCAGTCATGTGACACATCACCTGACCAGTGTCTAGACACATCATGTGACCAGTCAGATGCTAGACATCGGACTTTAAACTTTATTTACAACTGTACAGTACCTCATGTATTTTAGTATATATACAGGAGCAATACATGGGGAAGGACTCAGCAAGTCCTCCTGTTGTCTACCAACAACTAACTTGTTGAATCCTAATGGGTAACCACTCCCACCTCTTCCTCTTCTTTTGAGTATTGTTTTCATTGTGCTCCAGTGCCCCAAGGTTGTGTCTTGTTGGTGTTGTCACAATATATACAGGAGCAATACATGGGGAAGGACTCAGCGAGTCCTCCTGTTGTCTAGCACAACAAACCCGTTGAAACCTGAGGGGTGATCCCTTTCTCTCTTCTCTTTTGTTTGTCCAAGTTGTGCGCCAGAGTAAGAAACTCTTGGTTGTTACAGACATTGCACTGGTATGGCCAGACTCTAATTCAATATCAGAGTCTCCTGGATGGTACAAGGCATAGTTAACACCGTCTTTGCTAGGTTCCTTGTAATCTGGCTCTGTGTAACAACCAGGAGTTAGTTACTCTGGCGCACACAGGAACACACTATAAAGGTAGTGAATGGGGAGTGGTTACCCCTTAGGCTGCAGAGAGTATGTTGGTTAACAACAGGAGGACTTGCTGAGGAGTCTCCTTGATCTATTGGGGTATTTATACTAATACAGAGTGTTTGTACCTATGTACTGTACAGTTGATAAAGGCAGTGGCTGATGATGTTAGAGGGCGCAGCCCGTGTAACCAGCTCCACTGTGTGAGAGAGTTTGAGTCTAAAAGAAGAATAAAGGCAGCGCTGCGCGAGAAGGTGGAGTTAGAACAAAAAAGGAAAGTGCTGTATGGCACGGAGTGTGAACTATAGTAAAAGGTTAAAGTGGAGAATGAAAATTAAAGGAAAGGTCCGAAAATTGTGTTATTGTAACACTCCGGGTCAGGGTCACTGTAATATTATTGATACTCTATTTCATGCCTTGCTGCATTTTCCAAAATACCTGCCCGACCTGCAAGGGTCTTTATGTTTGGTGCGGACTTGACGTGTATTGAGATCCCCTTGAAGCTGACATAACCTGGGGATTTATGATGGTTATAAACCCAAGATCTTTGATTATGACATTGGTACTCACAAGGTTTTCATATCCTAATTGCTATTGCCGTCAGAAGAAGCTCTCGGCAACTAAATTTATGTGGCCGTATCTTGACCTTTCCATCCAAAATGTGTGACAACACCAACAAGACACAGTCTTGGGGCACTAGAGCACAATGAAAACAATACTCAAAAGAAGAGGAAGAGGTGGGAGTGGTTACCCATTAGGATTCAACAAGTTAGTTGTTGGTAGACAACAGGAGGACTTGCTGAGTCCTTCCCCATGTATTGCTCCTGTATATATACTAAAATACATGAGGTACTGTACAGTTGTAAATATAGTTTAAAGTCCGATGTTTAGCATGTGACCAGTCACATGGTGAGCCTAGACACTGGTCAGGTGATGTGTCACATGACTGGTCATGTGACTATGAAAAGTTGAAAATGTAAAGTAAAGTAAATAGTCATATGACTGGTCATGTGACTTGGAAAAATAAAAGTAAAAGTATTCCCACATTCAGTGCCGTTGTAAGTGAACAAATTCTGTGAGCGTCAATTCATTCATCGTGCTAGCTCTATTGTTTTTCTTCACCCACGGAGCATAGTGATGGATTGAATTTAGTTGACCCATGATGAAAAGTTTCAGAA